TTATCATCATGCCCACCTGCCCATCTGTTATGTGTTTTGCTTTGATCTTCAGGAATGTCTCTGTTATCTCTTCTTCATCATCACTCATCAAAGAGACTTTCTTAGTGAGTTTTATCTTTTCATGCTTATCATGAGATGTCTGTAAGATAACACATCAATCAAGCTAACAATCAAACAACCAATGAATCAATCAACAAACCAATCAACTAATCATTCCGCAATCAATCAATCAACCAACTAACCAATCAATCAATCAATCAACCAATCAATCAATCAACTAACCATTCTGCAATCAATCAATCAATCAGTTAATCAATCAATCAATCAACTAACCAACCAATCAATCAACAAACCAGTCAACTAGCCATTCCACTATCAATCAATCAATCATCTAACCAGTCAACTAACCAATCTGCAATCAATTAATCAATCAATCAACTAACCAATCAATTAATCAACAAACCAGTCAACTAACCAATCAATCAATCAACCATCCAATCAATCATCCAATCAACCAACCAATCACTCACTCAATCAGTCAACAAGCCAATCAATCAATCAATCAATCAATCAACTAACCAATCAATCAATCAACCAACTAACCAATCTATCTATCTATAACAAAATCAATCAATCAACTAATCATTAAATCAATCAATCAACTAATCATACAGTCTGATACTATAAATACCTGTGTTTTAGTCTTATTTTCATTACAATTCAAATGTTTTTCTTGTAGAGGCTCATCACTGATGACTTTACTTTTGTCTGGGACAAACAAAACCTGCAAATTCAAATCAAATCATTTCATTCTTGTAAATATATCCAACAGTGTTGATTAGTCTTTGCACAGAATATCAAGGTAACAATCATGCACTCTGGCTTAAGATCAAGTACGGTATTTGTATAAGCAAGAGTTCAAGGATTGACTGATGATTTGAAGTATAGACTGAGGAATACTATTTCAATCTGTAGATTCTGAGCATAATGTTTCCRGGAAAAAACTTGCTGAATAGCTGCAGTCATCATAATGTTTGAACTAACAGACCAAGACTCATTTGATCTCATGAAACAGAGACCTTTGGTTTAGTAAACATAGAAGTTTAGGCATAAAAAGAATGAAAGATATTACTACAGTACTTATTTAGGAATAGATTTGAACCAAAGGATAAAAGAATGATAGTATTGCTATGCAAATTCATAAGAATAGATTTGAACCTTTTTTAAGCATACATGTATGACACTACACTGATAGATCCAGCACTAGTTCACAAATTGCATCATAAAACAAATCAGTGAAAAAGGACCATTTTGTTTTAGGATAGAAATTAGCGAACTAGCGCTGGATCTGCCAGCGCACTGTGTTTGATTAACTAATATTTATGATAAAATTACTGTAATAAATACTTATATATAGTAAATAGAATATCATAGCACAAAATTATAGTTTAGCTAGTTGTTCAAACAGTAAATATCACTAAATACTGCTAAACTATGCTAATTCTATTGTTTCCTATTGTTCAGTTTGCACTATTTAGCACTAAAAAGTGCAAAGTGTTGAGTGTTTGTAACTCTATCATATCAATATAATTATAATAAAATTATAAAAATATAAACTATTAGCAAGTATAAATTGGTTTGAATTCTTACAATCATGTGAAATCCAACTGTTAGATTATAGTAGAATGGACAATAAACTACTTTCAATTTTGACTGCAAGTTAACTCAAATTGGTCAATAAATAACTGCTTTAAATTATAATAGACACTAATAGAAAATACTAATATCACAATAAACAGATTTGAATTCAATGTGATTTTATCTTAGTRAAAATCCTAATAGAACATCCATTATCTGACCTAAAGACAATACCTTAATATATGTACCAAAAGGCCAAAAGCTGGTCAAAAGACAATCCAAAAACATTGTTCTTAATAAACTATTTAAACTATTATTCCTTTTCTCTTGATCAGAGGTGTGGCCATGACTTCTAAAAGGTAGACTTCTGTTATTGTTGCTATTTTGTAAACTGGTCATGTGAGCTGAGTTTCAAGAGATCCAAAACAAAAGATTAAAAATATAGCAATGAGGTCATTAATAATGYATGATTGCCACCATGGTCTAGTACCTGGGACAGAGCTGTCAACAAGAAAATATTGCTGAATATGCACCATTACAAAAAACATTGACTTATAAGTCTTTTTTACAATGCAAGTATTTATGTCATGACAAAAGAACAAATTAAAATACTAAATAAAATTTCCTTGAACTGATGCAGGAATCGTGTTTAAAAAATTTTCAATTTATGATTTTTTCACTTTTTATTTATTTCCATATATTGTTTTAGTGTTTAATATATTTTTTGTGTGCGTTTTAAATTTCGCATGAGTATGAACCTGGTATGAACTTGTACTTTGACATAATCTGTAAAATATACAAATACTGTTTTCCTCTAATGATAGATTGTAATAATGAGAAGGCTCAGAATCAAAAACACATTTGATGTGGAACTTGAWGCGTCCTTAAATGGTCATGATAAAATTACTCGTAAAACATATATAAACAAGGTCCATCATTAGGGGTCCTCATGTTCAAAATTCCCATGTCTAACAAATATGTTTTCATAAATTAAAATTAGAACAATTATAGAGAAACTACACAACAAATCTTTTAAAGCTAAGTTTAAAAGCTAAGTTTAAATGAATCTTTATGTAGACTTGACTTTTATTTGTTCTCAATCTCTACAATGCAGGTCGGTTTGTCCTTGTAACCTGATCTATTTCGTGTTCTTGTTTCGTGCCGATTTCTCTGGCCTCAAACACGATGGCTTCACCCTGATGCTCAACTGAATCTGATCTCTGTCCTAAACAAATGGGTGAACCCCACCCACAATTCCCGGGCATGTGTTCCACAGGAACCCCACACTACATTTTGAGTACATCAATGGGCATATTTTATATTCTATTTCTCTCACTTTCTCACTTCAAAATTGGTGGTTGGGGGGTTGCGGGAGTGGGGGAAGGGGGGGAGAGGGAGGGTGCTACTAGTACAGGCAGCCTGTGACCCCCTAAATAAACCCTTGCAATGAAACAACAGATAACTTTCATATGACGTCATTAACATCACTGATAACAATAATAAGAATTAATATTACCCTAATAATAATAATATGGTAATTTCCTGGTATTTTACCTGTCCTGGGTACAGCATACGAGATGTCAGCTTGTTCATTCTTGTTAACTCAGACGGTGTAGTATCAAAGAGTAAAGCTATCTTGTTGAGAGTATCATTTCCACTCACCTATAACCATCAACAAACAGACAACATATTGATAATAAATTCGAGAAAAAATTTCCAGCAAAAATCTTTGCATTGCACATCTTTGCACAGACTTTTGCTTGGATGTTCTTCTTTCCTGCCATCTTTTGAGAGGAGTTTTTTCAGAAAGTAATTTGGTAAACTGTTTGATTTGTAGTATTGAAACTCCTCCGCCACATGAAAACACAAATCCCAACAATTTCTTTTGAAACTTTGAAGTCACTATATATATTACAATAATGATGATGGTTTCTGCTGTACATACAACCAGTGGGTTTGAATAGTCAAATGAGCAATAATTTTCAATTAAAACTTAAAAATA